TGTGTGTGTGTGTCGTTGCGTGTTATATGTATGTATGCATTATATAGATATACATGTAGATATATATATATATATATATATATATAGATTGATATATAGATATATATATGTAAAGATATATATATAATATTAGACAGAGTTAAATCCAATCTCATAGAAACAAGCGTGTTCTGTTTGGCAACTTAGGTCTATATTAATGTTGTGGTGTTCAGCATGTTGCTATAGCTCGGAGCATGTCGTGTATGAGTACATACACAAAAATGGATGCATTATAAAACAAAAAAAAATCATATGCGAGTGCGCGTATTTCCGTGTGGCAGCATGTGTGCTTGACTCCCAACCATTCACTTATGACAGGGACAGCTGACAAATGTAAACGATCGAACGATTATTACGGGACACAGAAGCATGCAATGTACGTACATGCAGAATTCTTACACATTTATACAAATATATGGATAACTGGAAGTGAGCACATAATTCCCTTCAGATTGAAAAACACCACAATCTGGCTTCATTCTCGTGCAGCTTGTATGTGTCAGCTTTAAAGACATATGCATATGCATATGTATATGTATATATATGTATATAGATATATATGTATATGTGTGTGTATTTTTATATGCATATGTATGTATATGTACATGTGTATGTGCATGTACATGTGTATGTGTATGTGATTGTGTATGGGTGTGTGCATGTGATTGTGTAGGTGTATATGTATGATTTTGAGTATGAGTATATGTTCATGTATGAGGACGAGTTACATAGTTATATGTTTGAATATATTTATGAGTACATGTACACGTATATGTTAATGTATATCTATATGTATACGTATATACATTTATAAATATGTATATATATATATATACATATATATACCACATCGTATATAGTTTATATTTATATATATATATATACGTATATATATATATATGTGTGTGTATATACGTACATGTATATACGTATATCTATATACGTATATATATATATATGTGTGTGTGAGTATGTGTGTGTGTGAGTGCATGTGTTATATATATATATATATATGTGTGTGGGTGTGTGTGTGTTTATGCAAGTTAAATGTGAACTGTAGATGTATACAATATAACTAAGCAATATACCGCGTATGATTTCGACACGCTATATGTACACTTATCTCACATACAAATATGTACACATATGTACGTGAGTGAGTGTGTTTAATACATACTTATGAATATCAATACACATGCACAGGCAGTTAAAAATGAGAATACCTGCCATTGTCTATCATTATGAACAGGTCCATGAATGTCTACAAACGACAATCACTATATGCAGGTGCGTAAAAATATAGCATACAGTAACACTCAAAACACGAGACGCGCATAAACTGACCTTCAAGTCATTGAGGTTTTCGACTTCCATATCAGTCTCGGGGAGAGTCCATAAACCAGGTTGAGGTCCAGATAATGATGTCAAGTTACTACCACCGGGTGACCCGTCCGGGACACTGCTGCCTTGACTGGAGGTACGGACCACATTATTGCCCATAGGGTACGGACCACTGCTGGCATTCATAGTCTGTCCGTTGTTCTGCAGGTTGCTGCTGCTGTTGTTGCTTTGTTGCGGTACGCTGTTAACTCGGAAGGCGCTGTTTTTAGGGGAGCCTATAGATACACTGCTCCCGCCTGCACTATTCGCACCAGAACCCTGACCACTATTTCGCTTGCCCGCCCGGAAGAAGCTCGATGGCAACCCGCGTTCTCGTAACTGTCCGGGGCCAGGACCAATACCACTGCCGCTCCCACCGCCACTATTACCACCCACAGACTCTATAGAGTTTGCGAGCTGTTGGCGCTGTAGTTGGGGCTGTGTGAGGCTCCCACTTTTTCCCGCGGCCATCGTCCCGTTCATACCGCTGTTTGACCGGTCTTGACTACCCAGGCTCACTCGCCTAGTAAGGGGTGTCCCGGCTGCTGATCGCGAGGTGCGGCTATTCATCGCCATGGTAACCAAATCCGGTTGTTGTTGCTGTAGCTGTTGTGAGCTGTGTTGCGTTTGGTACAGCAACTGCTCAAACTGTGAGACGCCGCTGAGATTAGTGCCCGAGTTGGAGTTGCTTCCAGCGTCGTTGGAATTCGCACTGGCCAGCATGCGTATTAACTCGTCGTTTTTGGCACCGTTTATGCTGGACAGACTCCCAGTACGCCGAATACCATAGGGGGTTGCCCGTACACCTTGCCCCAGTATTTGGTTTTTGTTACTGCCCATAGCTTGCGCCTGTGCCTGTGCCTGAGCTTGGGCTTGGGCTTGGGCATGCAGCATCTGTTGTTGTTGACTGTGTGTCATACCTGCAACGGCAGCATTCTGCTGGCTCATCATTAAGAGGTTGTGATCCTCCACACTCGCTGATCTGCGCATGCCTTGTTGTCCCTGGACGCCGACCCTTTGCTGCATCTGATTGCCGAGTATATCGAATTTGTCTATTTGCCCCCCGAATCCGGCCCCATTTGCATTATTAGGTGCACCTGGATGGTTGTGAGCCTGTCCCATGCCAATACCACCTTGCGGATTAAAGTTCAGCATAGGAGTAGAGTATCTGTGTGTGGGTGCTGCTGGCCCTGTGTTTCGTCTACCTCGCGAAATAATCTCGCCAGACATATTGCCACTCAGTTCTTGACCGGCGTTGAACGACATATTATTAATGTTGTTGTGTAGATTGGCGTTTCCCGCCATATTAAATGAGCTAATTCAGTGTATCAAGCACAGCCGTCGTAGATAACCGTGTCGTCTGTTTGCACTTTTACCAACCAGAGAAAACTAATTTATCTATTGAGCTGGGACTGAGGACGTGCTGTCCCTTATAAGCTAATGATGTAGCTCGACGGCAACGGGATATATAAGACAGACTCGTGTCGTTTTAATGTAATCAATAGTTACCAACAAGTACTAATAATATCTACGGATGGTACATCGTACCATCCACTTTCCGAAGGATACAGGAATTTAATTACTACCACTCAGCCAAGCCTCATGAAAATCGCTCAAGATGAGTCGCAGAAGAACAGTCACAGATGTAGTAGCTCGGCGGTCTATTCAACCTTTGTATCCGTGTGAATTGCTACAACCTATACGGTACTGGCCTCACAATACACTATCAAATGACGGTGCGTCTGCAAGTGTAGTCTTGTACAGTTTTCAGGTATTTGGTGTGCAAGTGGTATGTCAGGTTCTCAGTAATATATTTCTTGGAATTTTTTTTACAGACTATGATGATGTGTGTAGAATGTATGTCGAGCCTCTGGTCCGGGAGTGTTGGTTCTGCGTCGGTTTCTACATTTTTTTAAATATCGAGTTACTAGTATTTTTATGAACCAATGAATGCTGTGTGTTTGTTTAAAAAAATATATATATATATGCACAGTTGAGCAGCTCGAGCTCATCCTAATCTTTAAATTTTGGACTTTGTGTGTATGTAAATAAATACTTGGTCAAACCTTGCCGGACAGATTCGAAACAAAAACAAAGCTGTCCAGTTGGTTTATTTACATATATTGATTATTGAGAAAGTTTTCGAACCCCTTCATTAAATTTGCGAAGACTTGAATAAGTTTATTTTTGAAGTAGAATAGCCTACTAGTAAAATAGTCACTACTCTCTGGCCCGGTTCTGGATTCACAAATGACTATTTTTCTTTTCTTTCTAAATAGAAACAAAAACCAACTCTAGTGCATTAGCCTCTCGTAGGTAAATTTCAGGGGGGTTTTTCGGAAGTGGGCCTGTGCCAGGCTCTGTGCCCCGAATGGGCTGTGGCGAGACAGTCAGCCGAGTCAGGGATTGTCTTTTAAAACCGAAACGGAATCAGAATTTCTGATTTTGAGCGTTCAGAAATAAGCAAAATTGCAGAAATTAATAAGTAAATAGTTATATTGAACCTCATGGGGTGGTCACAAAAGATTTTTTTTGGCTTTAAAGAAAATGAAACTTTTTCTGAACGATGTTTCAATCTTATTAGAAGGAGGCTATGAACGAGGACAAAATTTCGAGAACAAAAATAGTTCTCGAGATTTAAAATCAGAATGAGAAGTACGTATTCAGAAGCTGGTTTTACGGGAACTGTGATTGTTAAGACATAAACGTACCATCAAACTTATAGCATATTTTTCTGTAATCGTTACTGATTGGTGAATAACTTGATACCCACTACAGGGTGTCTTTCAGAGAAATGAAGAGTCATTCTCTCAGAATTCTCTGAAATGTACGGAAACGAAATGCACCCAAAATTCAGGAAGACCCAAAGTTTGAACATAATACACATTACGAGTCTAATAAAATATTATTGTACTTTCTGTCCTTTCTGATACTGATTCTGTTCAAAAATTTCTGATCCCGTTTAAAAAACGACACTCACACCCCCTAATCATCAAACAATTTTTTTTTCTGCCAGCAGAAGAAGCAGACAAAGGCTGTTTCATTTAGAAGGCTATGCAAAGGCCATGAAGTATGAACTATCTGAAACACTGAAACTGAAAGACGCCTTCCAAACTCTAAAGCTCTTTTATTGAATATATATTGTTTTTTTTGTTATTTTAGTAAAAAATAGCTTCCTGATACAAATATATATATATATGTACATATATATATATATACATACATACATATATATATATATATATATATATATACATAAAG